ATGATCAAAAAATGTTAATTAATTTTTAATTTATATTAATTAATAATTGAATTTTATTAATATTTATTTATAACTAATGGTAATAAAAATAATTAATATTAATGAATGTTATAATTGCAAAAAGTGACAATAAGCTACTAAAATGCTACTTCAAGTAGCGTTTTAATAAGTTAGCAATGTACATCCAAACGTATATCAAAAAAATAAACTAGCTCATTTTTGTCAAATAATGTCTACATGGTTGATAATAACTTCGTAGTTTTATAAAATGGTTAAGGGTGGAAGAAAATGATAGTTATATTGGAGAATACAAATATGTCAAAAAATTTGAGAATATAAAGAAAATAAAAATACAAAAATTACGAATTTAAAACAAAAAGAAAAGGTGGATGGACGATTTTGGCCTCGTGTGCCTTGCACGTGGGTTCATTTAAGGACTAAAATAGACAGTGTCAAGGATAGGGACTACATCCAACAGAAATTGCATACCACATCCACCAAAACCATAATAAATGAAGCATAGAGACGAAATCTATAAAAATCAGCAAACCACAGGGACCATATTCGTAATTTACTCTATTTTGTTATTTTTCAGACTTAATTACGAATTTGGTCTTTGTGGTTTGTGTGGCTTTACAAGATTAGTCCATCGAGTAAAGACAAAAAAGGGAAAATGACGAAAGTGCCCTCAAAGTTAACAGAGTAACTAGATGGCCGTTAGAGGGAGGAACCGATTCGTTACAAAACGACATACGACAAGTCTTAATCTGTAATAAATGAAGTTTATGGACCTTTTTTGTAAAAACCATGAAACCACAAGGATCAAATCCGTGATTTACTCTTTATTTTACAACAAATTGTAATTTAATGGGTAAATATAGAATTTTATAAATATTTTTAATTGCTATAAATTATTTCATTTTCTTTCTTCACTTTCCTCCGATCCTCCCACGTTTGGGAGGAAAGTTAAGGGAGAAAAATCAATATTATAGAGGTGTTTGAGATTGCTTATAAAAACAATTATTGATTTTTGTTGTGACATCAGTAATAATCACTTTTGAGTGTTTGGATAAACAACTTATACCGGTGTCAAACCAGTAATAAGAAGTTTTTGAAGAAGTTAAATCATTATAACTTATAATAAGTTGATAAACACTTTTATACAAAAACATAAGTTATTTCAAATAAGCAATGCTAAACACCATCTATTATCATTTTTTTGTTAAATCCAATTAAAATGAAAGTATTTCAATAATTTATCAATTTTCTTAAGAGCAAATTGACATTTTCCATACCTATGGTTTGTTAAAAAATACCATTTTTCATCTTTGTATTTTAGAAATTACAATTTTCATCCTTATAGTTTGTAATTCATTACTATTTTTGCCTCTAAATGTTGTTTCGGACCCTATAGGCTACAATTCTTTACACAACTTAAAGATAAGGATTAGTTCATGGACGAAAATGACAATAAATTGTAAACTATAGAGACGAGAATCTCAATTTCTTAGGAGTCGTTTACCAAACACTTACCCGGTAAGTGCTACGGTAACATTTAACACTATTATTTACCTATCGAGTATGATTTTAGTTCACTAAAACGACATCCTATGCAACAATTTACCCGGTAAGCTCTTACTGTTGTAAGAGTCGACGCCCTCATTTACCGGGTAAGACTCATAGTTCTTGTCTCATTCTTACCGGGTAAGATTTTTGGTCCTTTTCATATTCATCCGGTGAGATAACGCGACTTGGTAAATGCCCCTTAATCACATTGACAAAAATTGAAATTATTAACAAATCGAACTAAAATTGTAATTTACTATTTTCTTTAACTTTTTGATAATGTTAATAACGAAAGAGGAAGAGAAGTGCAAATCAAAATATTGGGGCCAAACTGAAAAATAAAAAACATGAAGGGGTTAGTTTGTAATTTTTAATACGATGCCACACTCTGTATTGGGCAGTATTAGCACAAACGTGTCGTCCACATATATTACTCTCTCTGGATCGACGATAGATACAGTAATCTATATACATATATATATATATACAGAGAGAGAGAGAGAGAGAGAGAGAGTTCAATAGTACCCTTTTACGTTTCTGTACCTTTTCGTAAAAAAATGTCTGAGCTGCAACCACCGGTGGAGGGTCAAATGAATGGAGGTGGAGGTGGAGGTGGAGGTGGAGCTCTGGTCGGAGTTCCGGCAGACGCTGTCGTGGGTCCACCAAAACGACAGCGTAGGCCAAGCGTTCGATTAGGTGACATCGGAGATCAACACACGTTTGATAATCAACGGAGAACCAAACAACAACAATGGAAGTTTCCGTCGAAAGATTCGAAATCCTCGAAAACGCGACCTCTTGTAAACCTAACAGGCGGCGGCGGTGGTGCAATTACCGGTGAATACCAAGGAACCCTAGATGTTGGTGAAGATAAAGATGGCGGAAACGACAACAATCATCATCATAATATGAATAATGGTAATAGTAATAACAATAATAACGCTTTGGATAGTGTTGCAATTGGGAGTTGGAAAGCTAGGGATTCTGCAAAATCAAAAAGGGGTTTTTTAGGAACAAAACGTGTTAGATCGAATTGGGGATCGAAGATGGATGAAGGAGATGAGAAATTCGATGATGAGGATGATTATGATGATGATGGATACAGGGATTTCGATCGTGAGGGTTCTGGTAGTCAATTAAAGGAGCAAAGTTTGAATTTCTCGATGGATAACGAAAGAGATTTGCATTATGTTGGTGGGAGTAGAGGGAGAGATGGTGTTAGGGTTAGGGTTTCAGATGGGGTTGAATTAGATGGACCTTCTGATACTGATGCAAGAAATTGGAACAACAATCACCCAGAAAGAAATGGTGTTAGGGTCTGGTTGAATCAATTGGGTCTAGGGAGATATGCTCCAGTTTTTGAGATACATGAAGTTGATGATGAAGTTCTGCCATTGTTGACATTAGAGGATCTTAAAGATATGGGGATAAATGCAGTAGGTTCAAGAAGAAAAATGTTCTGTTCAATTCAGAAACTTGGAAAAGGGTTTTCATGATGAATGTTGATGGGGTGAAAATTTGAGTTTGAAGGAAGAGAATTCACAAAAAAGCACTTGCCAATTGCAAAGACAGAAGGCCTAAAACTGGTTTGAGCCTTTTTTTCTTGTACTTGATTAGTAGTACTTGTTTGTGATCAAATGGTTTTTTGTTTTACTCTTAATTTACCTCACTTTTTGACTTCTAATTATGCAGTTTTTATGGTATATAGATTAGTGGTCAGATTGGCTATAACTTTTTCTAATGTTTGTTTAGAGAAGAATGGCAATAACTGTTGAAGTTTAGAGAGCGAATGGTTCAGAAAAGAGTTATTTTCTAGATTTTGTAGTTCAAGATGTGTCAAATGATGCAGTTTTCGTTGTAGATTAGTAGTCACATATCAATAACTTTCTCATGTTCTTTAAAGAAGAATACCAATAATTGTTGCAATTTAGCGAATCAATGGTTAATAAGAAGTGATCGAAGCGATTTTTTACGTCAAGATTATGTTTTTGAGTCTTGCCCGAGATTTTCTGTTTTCTTTGTGTTACATTACACTCTTAGAATGACAATAACTATGATGTTTGGAGAATTAATGGTTCAAGATGTGTCAAATGATGCAATTTTTTGATACAGATTAGTAGGCACATATCAACAGCTTTCTGATATTTTTTAAAAGAAGAATAGCAATAATTGTTGCAATTTAGCGAATTGATGGTTACAAGAAGTGACCGGGTCGATATTTTATGTCAAGATTATATTTTGATTCTTGCCCAAATTTCTTTGTTTTCTTTGTGTTACATTACACTCTTAGAATGGCAGTAACTGTTGAAGTTTGGAGAATGAATGGTTCAAGATGTGTCAAATGATGCAGTTTAATGGTATGTAGATTAGTAGTCATATACCAATAGGGGCCTGTTCGTTGGCAGCTTAATGAGCTTAGTTTGACTTACAGTTTATTCGGTCAGCTATACATGACTGTTTGGTAGTAGCTTAATGATGTAGAAAGTGGCTTATTCAGGAAGCTTCTAGGGGTCAGCTTTATGCAGAAAGTCAGGATTTTTCCAAACCTGCCCTTCCCAATTGAAAAACATGCTCACTCCATCTATGAAAAAACCTTCCCAGTCTATACGGACGTATTAATCCTCACAAACAACTTTATCCATACAGGACTTAATGGAAAACCAACCAAACATCCCGGAACTTTGCTGATGTTTTCTTGAAGAAGAATACTAATAACTGTTGCAGCTTAGCGAATTAATGGTTAAAAAGAAGAGGGATTGGATCGATATTTTATGTCAAGATTATGTTTTGATTCTTGTCCAAGATTCTCTGTTTTCTTTGTGTTACATACACTCTTAGAATGGCAATAACTGTAATATTTGGAGAATGAAATATGAATGGTTGAAAATGAGTTATCGTGTACATTTTGTAGCTCAAGATGTGTCGAATGATAGATTAGTAGTCGGAAACAAGAATACAAATAACTGTTGCAAGTTATCGAATTGCCGAACTAATGGTTAAAAAGAAGAGGGATCGAATCGATATTTTATCTCAAGGTTATGTTTTTGAGTCTTGCCCGAGAATTTATGTTTTCTTTGTGTTACATCGCACTCTTATAGTATAACGATAACTATTAATGTTATTTTTAAAGTATATAATATTTATGTACGACATGTGCTTGAAAGTGACTTTGCCCAAATGCATAACAAATTCAAGTTCGAATCCCATGGGATGCAGGTTTGAATCCCTCCGCTTGCCTTGGCCGTGAGTCGGTTCACAAAATGCTTCCTTAGTCCTCACATGTGGTCGCCCCGGGGCGGATTCCGTGGGGCTGGTTGGGGTTTATGGTAATCAACTTTTGACACAAATATTTATGTACGACAAATAAAGGTTTGAACCCGACCTCTTGGGAGGTTGTGCTCTACTGATAATCCGGATACTGCTAAGGCAATTTGACTCTTGCCCAAGATTCTTCGTTTGCTTCATGTTACATTAGACTCGTAGAATAAATGGTTGAAAAGGAGTTATGGCATAGATTTTGTAGTTCAAGATGTGTCGGATGATGTTTAATGGTATGTTATATGTAGATTCGTAGTCAAATTATTGAAAACTTTGCCGATACCTGTTTCAATATGGCGGATTAATGGTTAAAAAAAGATTTATCGTATTGATACCTAAGGTGAAGATTGTTTTCTGATTGTTGCTCAAGATTCTTTGTTTTGTTTGTGTTACCATACACACTTTCGGGCTTTTGGGTTGGTTTTCTATTTAATTCAGTATGGATAAAGTTGTCTGTGTGTGGATTGATCAGTCTGTATAGATTGAGAAGTTGTTTGGAAGAGTCTTTTTATAGATGAAAGGAATATGTTTTTTAATTGGAAGAAAAATTGTCTTTCTGCATAGAGCTTCCACTTAGAAGCTTGCTGAATAAACCACTTTCTATATTATTAAGCAACTACCAAACAATCATGTAGCTGACAGAATAAACTAGGAGTATCATTAAGCTGCTAGCAAACAGACCCTTAGTATGAAGTATTATAGCATACGCTTCTTATGTGCATATTTTATTCATTTCTTCACCATGGGTTTTACTTTTAGATGTTTTCTTGCCTTTTTGATGGTGACTTTGTGAAAGTATAAGCATAGTTATGAATGCACGGGCCGTGGAGCCGTAGCGCGAAGGATTTTCCAATTGCAGGAGCTTGTAGATTGAGCCTACTTGATTGAAACTAAAATCTTAGCTAGGGAGCCTTATGGTTTAAGGGCAAGTTCATTTGAGGAGGGTGAGTAGTTTAAAAAATGTAAGAACCAACTATTCATTATGAATATTGTGATGATGATGAATATATTCATGCATATATTTGGGTATATTCATTATGAATAGTTGGGTTTTTACAATTTTGCAGGAGCTTGTAGTTTGAGCATCATTGATTGAAACCGAAACCTTAGCTATGGGCCTTGTTTAAGGGCAGGTTCATTTGAAAAGGGCGAGTATTTTGGAAACCGTAAGAACCAACTACTCATGATGAATATATTCATACATATATTTAGGTAAATTCATCATGAATAGCTGGTTTTTACAATTGCAGGAGCTTGTAGTTTTGAGCCTAATCGATTGAAGCTAAAATCTTAGCTACGGATCCCTTCGATTTAGGGCAGGTTCATTTGAGAAGCGTAAATGTTTTTAAAACTGTAAGAACCCACTATTGGTGACGAATATAGGGTATATTCATTATGAATAGTTGGTTTTTGCAGTTTTCAAAATATTTACTGTTCCTAAATGAATTTTTTGGCTTTATAAAGCAACAAGCTCATAAAGCCAGGCTTTTTATTGAACCGATATAATTGCAAGCGTATAGCAGGTTTGTCACTAGTTTTCTGTGATTACTTTGCTTCTCGTGTGATGGACTAATTACGCCTTGCGGCTGTTTTATCAACGCTTGTAAAAGTAGCAGGTAGAGGTTTTGTGGTTTTCGAATGGATTTATTACGATGTATCTACTTACAGTTTGTTCGTCTTCGGGGTTCTCGCGACGGGCAAAGGCGGAATAAGCTTCTCGTAAAGCGGAAATTTATTGATATTAGTTATATAAATGATGTAACTGTAAGTTGGTGAACTGGAAATCAATTGTTGTATGTTGGATGTTGATGATGAGGGGTTTTCTGTTTGTATGTCTGTCATAATTGTTTTCTATTTAACTGGTTATTTAACCTTCTACTTGTTACTGTGTTATTTTTTTAAAGCAAAATTACGTTTTTGTCCCTATGGTTTGTTAAAATTTGCAATTTTTGTCTTTATGGTTTTCAATTCATTGCTATTTTTGTCCGTGATGCTAATGTCAATATTCAAGTATGAGGGACGAAAATAGTAAACTATGGAAACAAAAACAACAATAAGTGGTAAACAATAGGGATGAAAATTATAATTTCAAAAGTATAGGGTAAATATAGAAATTTTTAACAAACAATAGGGACGAAAAATGTAATTTACTGCATTTTTTTATTTTATTTTTTAAATATTGTGGCTCTTTATAAACAAAAGGAAAATTTAATTTTAGCCACTTTTAAAACTGAATTCTTAAATCTATGATTAAAAATACTTACGTAAATTTTTTAAGGAAAAAAAAACCTAAAAATTGAATGTGTAAGACATTTGCATAAATTCTGTTAAAATTCAATTGATAAAATTGCTAAATAAATTTGACCGGAATAATCAGCTATTTTTATCAATTTCGGGTATGGTGGCATGGACATTGTTTCGTTTCTCCATAATTGAAGTTTTTTAGGGTCATGAAAATCCGAGCTCTCTCAAGATAAGTTTGGAAGCGGATCACAAAATCTTGGTCATCTTCTCTATCTAATGAACGAGGAGTTTACTTTAAAATCGTTCGCCCTACAACCACCACCCGAGTATACGCTTCAACAGGTATCACATAAGGGTAGATTATAAACCTCTAGTAAAATAACCGTCCATAACCCAACAGGTAAAGTACATTGCATAGCATTAAATAGTTAGCTTTAAGGATTGAGTCAGATTTACCCGTTCAGTGATTTCAACACCGTATTATTTTGTTCGGTACAACCATATATTTCTTGAAATTAGAATTGTAACACAAGTTTCATCCGTCCTAATTTCCAGTTTATTTGAAAAAAAAATTAAGATAAAAGACTCGATCGGGACATTACATCCAAGTAACAAGGTACTAACCACACAACAACGGTACAATGATTTTATTAAAAAAAATCCATAGTTTCATCTTTTTATAACCAAATGGTGACACCATTTGAAAATCAGACTTTTTTTGCCAAAGCATTTTACAAAAACATGGGACCCACAAGCAAAAAAAACAAGCTTTCGAAGATAATGTTTTTTGTCGGGATTGTAAAAAGCTCCGTTGTGGATGCTCTTTTGGTATCGAACCGCAACCTCTTACAAATTGAGATCCGAGTTTTTCATCCTCAACCCGCTATAGGAAGTTTGAAAAAGACACCCAACTTAGAAACTATAACCACGCAAAAAAAAACGTAAATGATGTTACAAGAATAATGTGAACCCACGCGCTCCTTCCGATTCTTCGGATTACGTACACAACGACCAATTGATATTTCGACTTCTTTACAAGTGTTAAATGAAGCCAAAACCGCCTCGAGGTGTGATCAACCTGGAAAATCGAATATATAATCCAAATTATGAAGAATGTGTTCAATGTTACAATTGTATGACTCGGTTTTATAATCAACAAATTATTGCCTCCGTTCCAAAATAAATTTCAACACTTCAAAAAGGTTTAGAAATGTCTAATTATTACATCTTTTTAATTAACTACATGTCAATTTTACCCTTAATAATAGAGGGAGTAATGAATTTATTTATCTTATAAGTAAGGGTAGAATCGGAAATTGGGCACTAACTTTTAAAGGTAGGCACTTACCGGCCATTTTTACCTGATTAACTAAATGCCAATTTTACCCTTAATAATTGAGGAAGTAATAAATTTCATCTCATAAATAATGGTAGAACGGAAATTGTGCACTAACTTTTAAAAGTAGACACTTGCAGGCCATTTACCAAACGCTTGCCAAGCAAATGCTTATCGACAAGAGCCACCATCTTCATATCCCTTACCGGCAACATTTTCGACCATCAAAATGAATTGTTGGTAAACGTCTTTCACCCGGTAAGAGTTTTCCCCCTCACCTACCGGGTAAGATTCTCGATCATTGGGTAAGGGACACATGGTAAGCGTTTGATAAACAACCTCTTATTTTGGGACAAACTAAAATAAAACGAAAACTTACAGTATTGAAGAAGAGTATTCCGTTAAGCCTACGCTATTGCCTGCAGAAAAAGTGTTCATAATTCGTTCTTCCAACTTTCTGTATATGGAGATGATGAATTCGATGGGTGTTCGTTAGTTCAGCTATTCGACACGGTACAGAGTTGACTATGTCCAAGACTATGCTCCAAAGGGTACATTGTGGTCTCTTTCACATATTTTTGATGATCAACAGCAGCCTTTCTGAGGCCTGAAAATTGGCTCTTGTGAAGTTTCTTCTTGATGATGGAACAAGAAGCCAGTGGATCATCAGAGCCTCCTGCAACCCTCCTATTACAATAACCAACCACACTTCACTCACTTGAACAAGGTCTGCTCACAAGCAAAGTATACATCGAGAAAGGCATATAACATGGAGTCGGAGAAGTTTAGATATGATGATAAACTGTTGGTCCTCTACTTGTGCATTTGGTACGCGGACGGACTGGACGGGCGAGTAAGGCAGGCACGTGAAAGACTTGGGGAAGGTTTTAGGGGGTTTAATTTGACATGTGTAGTTTAGTAATTTATCAATCTTGTCTCATCTCCTTACTTTTTGTTCCACCTAATTTGGTAAAGAATTGTGGATGGTTTTACGGTTTTAACTTTAGATGGTTAGTTTAGTAATTTACAATCTTGTTCAATCTTCCTAAAAAAAATTGTTCCACCTATTTTGGTAAATAATTGTGGAAGGTTAAAGGGTTTTAATTTGACATGGGTAGTTTAGTAATTTATCAATCTTGTCCTATCTCCCTGTTTTTTGTTCCACCTAATTTGGTAAAGAATCGTGGAAGGTTTTATGGTTTTAATTTCACATGGGTAGTTTAGTAATTCACAATCTTGTTCCATCTCCCTCAATTCTTTTTGTTCCACCTTTTACGAAACGAATTGTGGAAGGTTTACGGGTTTTAATTTAACATGGATAGTTTAGTAATTTACAATATTGTCTCATCTCCCTCATTTTAGTTCCACCTATTTTGGTAAAGAATTGTGAAATGTTTTAGGGTTACATGGTTTGTTTAGTAATTCAGAAATCATGTCTATCTCTCCGTTTTTTGTTCCACCTATTTTGGTGGGGTAAAAAATGCATTTTTGTCCCACTCAGTCCTATCCCGTCCTGTTGCAGTCTAATGTTGCTCCAAAAAACATGACGGAACGTGTTTTTGTTCCGTCATGTCCCACATACCAAATGGACAAGTATGTCTTCCATTCTTATGCTAAGTTTACGTTGTCACTAAATGGTTGAAGTTTAACTAAATAAAAGGGGAAATTGTTGATTGATATTTGGTGGAATCATGAATGCTCGTCTTGCACATATGTGCTATGTGCAACGTTTGGTGTTAGACTTGGGGGTTGTTTGGTTGGTTTTCCATTAAATCATGTATGGATAGAGCTATCTGTGTGGATAGGAAGGTTTTTGTTTGGGAAGGTTTTTTCTTGGGATAAAAGGAACGTATTTTCTAATTGGGAGGGACAAGTTTGGAAAAAGTTTGGCTTCCTCCATAAAGCTCCCCCCTAAAAGCTTACTGAATAAGCCACTTTCTATATCATTAAGCCACTACCAAACAGTCATGTATAGCTGACTGAATATGTTGTGAGTCCCATTAAGCTCATTAAGCTGCTAATAAACAGGCCTTTACTGGGATAGACATGAATAATGTAATTTTGGGATTAACTGATTGCTAAATAGTAAACACCTATCAAAGAGGATTACATGATGTAAAAACTACATACCTTAGCATTTTCTCGGATGCAAGTCTAGTAGCAGTGATTGTGCTGCGGCTTGGCACCCATTTCACGACACGGTTAGGATCAGCTCGCATCGGAGAATGAATTTTGATAAGCTATTAATTTAGAAAATGGAGTAATGAATTAGCGAGGCAAAAGTAGAAAATCTTGGGAATAACTATCTTCAAGTAACGACTCAGTTTTTCACGAAATATGTGTCCACATTTCTATTTTAGTTTGTTCACTTTCAAAAGTAAGTGCTCAACTTTCCATATCTACCCTTAGTTATGAGATGGAGAAATTCATTACTCCCTTCATTATTAAGGGTAAAATTGTCATTTAGTTACTTAAAAAGTACAATAATTACAAATTTTAAAAACTGTATGCCTTTTTTATTGTGGAAATTTATTTTGGGACGGAGAGACTAGAGAGTATTGTTAGAAAAGCAGAATATAATCCTGGATCGACAATGATCAAGAAAGAAGACCTCATCACCATGTTCATCATGCTAACTACATGTCTATTGCAGGAATTTGAGGCTGTTCTTTTGGAAGTTATTTCAGGGGAAAGGATGATTTTATCCCCCCGAGTCCTACAGTGTAAAATAATCTTGCACAAGAAGTAGGTGGCATATATGAACTTACTCCCAAACACTCCATCATCTGGTAGTAAGCCCTACCCTGCAACGGGGTATGACCTTGTCGAGACTCTGAGAAATATCTCGTCCTGAAAACAACATAGCCAGAATTATTGACCATGGACGTAAGGTTCGATTCTCGTGAGACCACCCGGTTTCTGTGAGACCACAAAATAACACAACCTTCACAGCAAAACACCGTGAAGGTACAAAAAAACACCAAACCTTCACAGCAAAAACACTGTGAAGGTTTACCTTCATAGTGTCCTGTTGTGAAGGTATGGTCTCATGGGTCTCACGAGAATAGGTGGTCTCACATGATCCCGAGTCCATGGACATATGTTAAAGTTATATATATTGTTTTCATTAAAAAAAGCATATATGTTAGCAAAAAGAAATTTTGATAGAAAAGGTTGCAGCCCATTATTGAGTCTAATGATAAAAATCTTATGCAAGCAATATAGCTGCCACGTCATCCAGTTCAAACATGCTCATTGGCTTCTGGTACCATGTCATCGACATGACATATAATTGTTTTTTTGGAAAGAGGGTGGCACCTCTGGTAAATATAATTGTTATTTGTTAGTAACCACTATTTTATATCAACAAGAAGGGACTAAAAAGAGAAGAAAAGTGTATATAAGTTCGTATACCACTCTTTATAGCCTGGATCGACTGTAAATCCATACATGTCAACAGTATCACATATTGACAGAGCAAATTCAAGAGCCTTGAGCCCAGTTCCTTTTGCTGCTGAACCGAAAGATGCACCTAACATGAGATATATGGGATTGAGAATTGGAACTTCCTACAATACACAATTCAGCACTCAAAATCAGAAAAATGGAAGAAAAGAGACAAGTATTTACAGCTTATCATTGCAATGTGCCAAAGGCTGCATGTTATGAAGATCGAGGAGAAGTTACACATCTATGAGATGACGATATAAATGCATGTCAGATAATATACATATATAGGGTCAGGTTTTGGGGAAAACCGCAAAAAAATGAAAAACTAAGGAACACTCTGGTAATCTTTTATCTGGACAGTATGCACATGCACATGCACATACAAGTAATTTGTAAGCAAGTTGTCTGGTATGCACATGTGCATAACAGACACATGTGCATAAAAACCAAGAAACGGCTATTACTTGTATGCACATGTGCATACATCCAGATTAATGATTATTAGGGTGTTCCTCAGTTCTTCATTTTTTGGGGGTTTCCCCTTGAACCTCCCTTTATATACATATATATACACACACACCAACACATGTGTGTTTGTGTATATATAGACACATACACACATTTTAATTGAAACTTCAAGGGTTCTAATAGATGGACTGGCCCAATGATGGTTGGAGTAACTTGTACAGTTGTACTGCGTACAATGATGATTGTAAGTTCATTAGACTTGCGTTCTTATCACTGAAAAAGGGTACCAGAAGCTAACCCTCATGTCCATCACAAATTCTAGGAATATTATCTCACAGCAGTTATTTAACTCATCAGCAAGGTAAAATTACCATCAGCTCCATGCACATTTAATCGGATACCACCAAAACAATGAGAGATACAAAGATACTAATCATAACTTCGACAAAAATCTGCCTTTTGAATTCCATGGAATCTGTATTTGATCTTCCAATTTCTGTTGTTCACAGAAACAACCTCTCTACTCCTTGAGGGAGAGGTAACTTTTGCATATATCCTATCCTCCCCAGACCCTATTCCAACTGGGATTCACTGGGTTCATTTGGTTGGGTTTATCTTTCGATTTCCTTTGATGCAAAGGGTTTTGTTTTCTTTTTAACCTTTTTTCAATTGACAAAAGAAAAACGCAAGGAACTAAAATAGAGTACTAAAATTATTTTTAAGTAAGAAGTAACATCTACACAATCTCATGATCATGATAAACCACAAGCAGTTGCTCATTTTCATAAGAACAGCCAGATACAATTGACTCGCTAACAAGGCCTGACACATGTTGCCTCCTTTATCAGGGATCGAATACAAAGGCAGAGTTATATGATAGTAGACCTACATTTTGATTCTCACCAAAAAGAACAACATCTCGTAGAGTAGTATGTTCCAATTTTCTATAAGGTGACAGTTGAGAGTAGTAATTGCATACAAGAGATAAACGAGAAAATTTCTACAATCATTATAGCCCAGATCAAAAAGAATTCGATAACCAAATATCCAGGCCAGGTCTGTGACATTGGCCATCCGAGGTTTGTTCATATTGTCTAGAAATGACGACAAAGGAGCAAATTATTGTAAATATTGTTTTCCTTCAAGTTCTGAAAAGATCTACCGCCCAATGGTCGTACAAGTGCATTAGTAAAGCGGCTTTATGTGTAACTGAGTGAACGCAGTTGAAAGCCACAAATGTGTTTGGTGAAGAAGGGCATCCGGAGGAAAAGGAAGTTCACATGATAAGACGGGTGTATGGTTAATTACCAGGGTTCCATTTCTATTAAACGATTAATGCAGCTCAATGTGTGGTCTAATTAGCTGAAAATCACAAATCTTTGATGTGCTTTTAGGAAGATGTGACATCTATAAATGAAAGCATATAATAACAGAAACGTGTAAAATGGTTTGTCTAATTAGAAAATGTTTAATCCAGTACCAACCCCCTGCCGGGTGCCAAAAAAAGAATTATTTGATAATATGGTGCAAGATATTAGCTTTTCACCAAGAAGCATATATAGGGTCTGTTTGTCAGCAGCTTAATGAGCTTAATGGAATTCATAACTTATTCAGTCAGCTATACATGATTGTTTGGTAGTGGCTTAACGATATAGAAAGTGGTGCTTATTAAGTAAGCTTCTAGGAGGAGCTTTATGTAGAAAGCCAAGTTTTTCTTTCCAAACCTGCCTCCCAGTTAAAAAATTCGTTCCTTCCAACTATGAAAGAACCCTTCCAAACAAAAACCTTCTCAATCTATACAGACAACTTTATATATACAGGACTTGATGAAAAAACAATCAAACAACCCCTAAGCTTCATGTGTCAACCCATAGGATATGATAAAACTGTCATCTACTGCAAAATTAAAAATAAAACATGCAAGTAGGATGCCATGTTATGATTGTGCTCACCCGAATCATTTTGTTCATGATATCGTGGATTGTAGTTTTGACGATCAGTACCTCTTTTCCAGTTTCTGTAGATTGTGAAACCTTTAGCATGCTTCCAGTAAATATATATATACATTGGATTCATACATGTAGAGTTACCAGAATACCATATAACTCAGCAACTTTATCCAGAGCTTTGGCAGAACCCCTATTGAGCAGACGAAATGTACTTTTTTTACCCACATGATCAGTGTAATTCTGCATTGCATCAAGAGAGAGAGAGGGAGGCGGGAGAGAGTTGGGGGAGAGTTATTAAGTTCAACTATATGCTAAAAGTTAGATGTAATTGACACATACCTGAATTGGTGCACCATTTTCCCTTAAAACAGCATCATAACTATCAATCTCCTTCCCAAACTTTGTTTTTAACAGATCCCCTGAGTTACCAATAACTGCACAGCGGCCAAACTGACGTGGAACATATGGTGGTGTTTCAGGTAGTACCAAAGAAAGTTTCTCCATGCACAGAGTTTTATTTGCACAGTTGTTACTGCAGCACGTATGCACCAAATCAGACTGCAAATAACTATAGAAGACTAAAAACAACTCTTCAGACTTGCATGGAGAAAAAGAATTTTTTGGAGATCTTGAAATTTATTAAATCTTAACTAAATTTTTTGGCAACTTGATTTGTTTTTTGAATAAAGATGGGTATGGTTGAAAATAGAACATAAAAATTATAAAATAACAAGAAACATGTGGGTTGTGCACACATCTTACTTGTATTTATCTACGCATTTCCTTTTCAAATGGTTTGGAGACTTACAGATGTATTCCTTTATTAATCCTCCTCCATGCATAATCTTCCCATCCGTTAGGTAAAGCATCAATGAACTCCTTGGTGAGAATGGTGGTACTATTCCGCACCTGGAAAACTCATCTTATGAGCAACAAAACAATGACAAAACTTGGATCATGAAGCCCTTGGATGAAGTCAGAGGCAGATCCGGATTTTTTTCAAGTGGTACCACAATTTGACTATAAAAAAATATCTAACTTTTTCCCGCAATATTAGTATAGATCTATTGGTTGGTTCCTTATCCTTACAAAAAAAAGACCATGTCCGTGCGCGGTCTACATATATTTTAAAAAACACAAGAGATATATAAAAAACACCAAAAATTAAGCTAAAAAACAACAAATTTGACATTTGTACGACTCGAACCTGGGTCTTTTGTTATAAAAGTAAGAGCATTTACCATCTTAGCCATTAAAGTCTTGTGTTAACATTTGAATTTCAAAAACCATATGGTGGCACCCAACAAAACAATACGGTGGTACCGTTGAGAAACGTAATTTTTTCCCTTATGACCGAACCATGAAGAGGAGGCTGATGGCCCATGCCACCGTATCTATCCATGTGGGTCTGCCCCTAACCAGGCCAGAATCTATTCTGAACACATGTCAATGATTGACTCTACAATGTGTTAGTGCTGTTTAACATAAAAAATCTCTATGTTTGGAAACAATTTGCTTAGAAAAGGCTTCCAATTTGAAAATTTGACAAATATAAAAATACCTACACATCAGATACTAACCTGCTCCCATGTGGCAACTGCTTCACACAGATTAAACTCAAAAGATAAGCCCTCTAGATTTCCAGTTTTGGGATCTTTCTGTTAAAAGCATCCAATTTCAGATATTAATTACAAAACTACAAGATAGAAGTAGCACACAAACATGAAGGGAAAAAAACTATTTATGAACCAGACAGGTGTAATACACAATGTTTTAGTCTCATAAGAGGCTAGCCCTTTGTAACATCCCAGGCCAACCATATCAGATATTGCCTGATTTGTCCACACACCTGGACTCAATTTTAAAACACATGTGATACCAATCCCTTATAGGGCAACCTTAGTTCCCCTCCCCAACCGATGTGGGATCTTTCAATCCACCCCCTTGGGAGCCCAGTGTCCTTGCCAGAAGTCCAGTTCTAGTACCATTTTTGACATCCCAGGCCAACCGTACCAAATATTGTCCGCTTTGTCCATACACCTGGACTCACGGTTCTTAAAAAGGGTCTGATAGAGGAGGTATCCGGTCCCTTATAAAGCAACCTTAGTTCCTCTCCCCAACCGATGTGGGATCTTACACCCTTAGTAAAGCATCTAACCCAACTTGAAGCAATACCCATATACCTGGGGATGCTTCTAACAGAGCATATTAAGAATATTCCAAAAATTGAGACAACCTACCCATTTAGGGATGGTGTCACTTGGATACTGTAGTGTAACTTTGCAGTAGTCTCTATCACTGATAGCTTGTAGCCCTAATCCGTTGGCCCTCTGAATCAAATTGAACAAAGTAAGTGCAACGAATCACATTAGCAAATGGCGGTGCTTTTCTTATAATAGATAAGTTTTCAATTGTATATCACAAGCTTGATTTGATTACAGACAGATACGTCAATGTGTTTGTTGTTAGTGTATATTAGTTAGATATAAACCTTTCACAACAAACATTTTAGACGGACATAATTCATCATTTAGGATTAGGGCTAACGTTCTGTCTCTTACCATATTCCCATAGCATGTACAGATCGTGCCTCTGAAATTACTAAGCTACATGCTTATAAGCTTCAAATGCTTCTATTTCATGGATTAATAGCTAGCTAGGGACAGCTCTTTGGATTAAAACACAAACATGCACTAAATTGGCCCTATGCTTCAGTCTTCACAATCGCACGATGAAGGTGTTGCTTTAGCATCATAAAACTTAAAGAGCCAATATAAGGGCATGTTTGTTAGCAGCTTAACGAGCTTAATGGGACTCATCATATTCGATCAGCTATACATGACTGTTTGGTGATGGCTTAATGATATAGAAAGTGGCTTATTTAGTAAGATTTTTATGTAGAAAACCAAGTTTTTTTCCAAACCCGTCCATCCCAATAAAAGAACATCCTCCTTCCATGTATTAAAAAAACCCTCCCTGACAAAAACCCTCCCAGTCTATATAGACAGATTAATATAAACGACTTAATTTAGCCATCACCAGCCCAATACGACTAGAAATTCAACAACCCACAACCGTGTCTGACTTTTGAACCTCTTGAGGTCGTATAACTAGTTATAAGTACTCCATTTCAGTTTGAATATCTCCAGTTAAGCTCGACCCAATAATACGAACATACGATTAAATTATATGAAACAACTCACCACACACTTTTCAAATCCATTTTGCAACGATTGCAACGCTTCGATTTCCTCGTCCGAAATGTTGAATGTCCCGTCTACTCACATGTAGCAATTATAACATTGAATCAAACAAAATAAATTCAAAAATGCAACTAAGAGAAAAACAAAACTTAACATACTTAGATTAGAAACACCGGTGATGTAGATGAGAATAGCTGCAAATCCAGATGCTAAAGCAACAATGAATGCCAACTGTAAGAGCTTCATTTATCAGTCTCTTGGCTCAATAATCAATTGAGATCTGCGTTCAATAACTTTGATCTGCATTCAATAACTTCAATTAACTATGTATACGAAGTAAATCGAAGCCCTAATTCTTGAAGAATGCAGAGCGGCACTACCACTGTCGGTGTTCAAAATCGCGCAAATGAAGGTGATTGCCTTCTCGATCTGATTTGCAAACAGCAGAACATTTTATAGTTACAAATAAAAGTAACACTTTCCTCCCTTGTAGAATGCTCTAAATTACTTTTTGCCCCCTTTACTATTGACAATGTGTTAGAATTTATTGGAAGTTGGTTTTTCGGCTTTAGTAAGGGACGTTTTATATTCCAGTTATATTTCAACAGTGGACATTTAATATTTGGGTGGTGTTTATTTTTTTCCCATTAAGTCACGTGTGAATTAAGTTGTTTATCAGAATAAATTAATCTGTCTAAGGACGAGAGATCGATAGGTTTAAAGGGGCATTTATGGTATTAATTTATTTTAGGTGGCTTAATGGCAGAAGGGAGAGGTCTTGACTTATTCCATATGGTCATTTGGATGATGGCTTGACGATCAAGCCGTAAGGAAACACCCATGTATGATTGAGCAAATAAGTTATCCATATTGTTAAGCTCGTTAAATTGTAAGTAAACAACCCATTTACCATGCGCCATGTGTTCACTGTGTATATCCGACGTGATATTGCTTATATATGACCTATATTCATAGTGAGGTACTCACGTTTCTACAGTATATAACAAGTAAATACTAACGTATATACGGTCTTCATGGTGAAATTCATAGTGAGGTTTTGTCCCGTATAGAAAGAATAACGGAATCTTGCTTTTATTAGTGAGTTGAAAATATGAACAAGGCATATAAATCGGAAGGTTGATAAATGCGTATTTAGTTTATAATCTCTAATCAACTTGTAGGATTGTTTAAGAGATCAGGTGAAATAAGGAGGAATTGACCATGTGTTGTGGATTTTACACATATATTAAACGGTCAAAAGATAGCATTAGCACGTTGCACCTGCTTTTTAACAAGTTTTTTATTTGTTTTTATTTATTTGGATAGAATCTAAATTCAGTTATCTTATCCATATCAATTACAGATACACACACACACATACATACACACACGTGTGTGTAAGGGGCCGTTTACCCAAATGCTTACCTATAAAAGTCAACACTATAATTCATCTTGATGTGTAAGATTTTAGTACTTCAAAACATATCGAATACAACAATTTACTGGGTAAGAGTCGTCATCCTCACTTACCGGACAAGACTCTCCATCTTTCTCATCGCTCTTACCCAGTAAGATTTTTGGCCATTCTCATGTTCATCCAATGAGGAAATTTATCCAGTGAGCACTTACCAAGTAAGTGTTTAGTAAACGACCCCTAAGTATGTAATCATGTCATTATTTCATATCTCTCAATCCTCTCTCTCTCTTCGTAGAAATTTATGTAGAAATGTTTACAGGAAATATGTTTCTATTGAAATCTGACCTGGTAAGCATTGTTTCCGTGCTATTTCAGTAAGTATTCAGTCAATAAATTGGTCAATTTTCAGTCAGAGTGATAGTCTAGTAAACAAGCTGACTGCTGATCGAGTCAGCGTTGCTGACCGGTCAACGCCTAGTAAACAACCCCTTAGTCTTTAACCCAAACAACTTTGATAGCGATGGTTAGTAATATCCTAAGGATAATGATTATTCACGTTCTAATCATTGACTTTGACGAACACAAACTTTGTTACAAGGAAAAGAAAAATAAACAAGGACTGTAGTTGTGGATTTTAAAACTTGAAGGGTAATTTCTGTCACAAGTTCAACTTTTGGAGGTGACTTTTCTATAATTATCCCGCTTTCTTATGATAAAAACGGGATCATCGTCTTCACCGTCTCTCTGACACTAGCAGCAATAGTAGCAGCAGCTCCTCCGACTCCACTGGTTAGTTCTCCCGGCGCTCTCACTGTTATCATACACGCACTGACGCACACACATACGGGATGCCTAACTATGTGCATGATGATCAATTTTGGTTTTCATATTTTGTTAGGGTTTTAACTGAGATACACATTTCTATATTTTTATATTATTAGTTGTTTCATTTGATTACATAATGAAATTTCGTGTTTCTGATTTGGTAGCAATTAATTGTTTGGCGTTCGTTAACTGAAGCTGTAGTAATCCAACCATTAAGTGCGTAGTGCCCCGTCCTGTTCGCCAATTAAAGAAAAACAGTAAGGGTTTGTTTGTTAGCAGCTTAATGAGCTTAATGTGACTTGCAGCTTATTCAGGCAGCTATACGATGACTGGTTAGTAGTGGCTTAATGATATAGAAATAAGCTTTTAGAGGGAAGCTTTATACACATGTTCTTTTAAAACCTGCCCTTCCCAATTAAAAGACATTCTCCTTCCATCTATGAGAAAACCCTCCCAAAATAAAACTTTCCCACTCTATCCAGACAGATTAATCTACACAAGACAGTTTTATCTCTACAAGACTTCATTGAAAACCAACCAAACAGCCCCTTACAAGAATCTGATAATACACAGTTCAGGGTCCAATCTCTAGATTTTAGTGGGGGAGTAAGCATGAGTTTTTCTTATTGATGCTACCTTAAATCAGAGTCCTTTTTGACTTTTAAGGGTCAAATGTGTTGGTTTTTAATCTGCAAAATCGACGAGAGCTGTTTTGGGTAGAGAGAAAAAATCGGTAATTCGATTGATCTACAAACATTGTTTTAAAGATGGAAAACATAACGAGCTAAAAGAATTTAAACATCAATGTAAAGTTTGAATTTCAGAAGTTCGAGGTTTGAGTATCCAAAATCAGGAGGGGAAATGGGATTGAGGGAGTATAATTATCCTTGTGGTATGGTTATTTCAATAGTTTCGGCTAGTGTAATATCCTTTTGGTGTAGATCCTCTATCAACTCGATGTTCCCATTTGTCGGTTGATCTATATACATCTAAAGCTGTACATATCATACTTCATTCGACATCGTTGAAAGAATGAATGAACATCCCCTTTTGCCTTAAAAAAGGAAGTGGACTAAGGAGCTGTTTGGTTGGTTTTCCATTAAGTCCTGTATGGATAAAGCTGTATGTGTGGATTAATTTATTTAATCCGTTTGCATAAATTGGGAAGATTTGTGTTTGGAGGGTTTTTTCATAAATGGGAGGAGCGTGTTTTTTAATTGGGAGGCCGGAGGGGTAGGTTTGAAAAAAAACTTGGCGTTCTGCATGGAGCTCCCTCCTAAAAGCTGATTGAATAAACCACTTTCAATATCATTGAGTCACTACCAATCAATCATGTATAGTCGACCGAATAAGCTATGAGTCCCATGAAGCTTAGTAAGCTGCTAACAAACGGGCCCTTATTATTTTGGCCCACTTCACTCTAGGAATCCTTTTGTCAAAGTATTAAGAACAAATAACTTAATGAGTACAACAACAAAACAACTCCCCCTTCTTCACTAATGCTGTGTTCTCGAATTTGGGGAGAAAAGAAAACAAAAGAAAGGAAAGGAAAATAATTTTTTTATTTGTGTTCTCTAAAGAGAAGGAAAAGGAAGCAAAGGAAAAGAAAGAAAATAATTTTTCATGTTCTTGAATAGGTGAGAAAGGAAAGGAAAGGTGTTCCTTTTCAAATATTTTATTATGAAAGGTTGGGTGGTTTTGTAATTCTAATAATCTTCTTAAAGGGTTTTAATTTCTTTCTTTCCTTCCCTTTTCTCCCAAATCTGGAAGGAAAGTTTTGGGAGGAAACTTGTGATTTATTTCCTTCCGTTTCCTTTCCTGTCTTTACTAAAAAGGTTTCAAGAACACGTTTTTTTTACTTTCCTCTTTCCCTCCCTCTCCTTTCCACCGTAAAAAGGGTTTTGGGAACACAGTGTAATCTTATCTCTAACCTCACAATCCTCACTGCAGGTGTTTACTTCTGTTATTCTGGTTAAGCATCATGACAAAGTTCAGGAAGCTCAATCGTCCTACTGGTCATCGAATGTCCATGCTCAGGTTCGTGATAATTTCTTTTTATCTACCATTACACACCTGATACCACCTAGGAAGACAACTAAGGGACTGTTTGGTTGGTTTTCCATTAAGTCTTGTATGGATAAAGTTGTTTGTGTGGATTAATCTGTCTGTGTATATAGAAAAAGGTTTTGTTTGAGATGGTTTTTTTCATAGACGGGTATGAGCAGGGGCGGATTTAGTTTATGTTGGTAGGGGTCCTAGGCCCCCAACAAACCCACCAATTTATATAAAAAAAAAAAACTATGAAAGATTTGTTTAGTAAATTTTCTTATTGTACGTCCAACAAGAACAAGGCAAGGGCCCCCCAACTTGATATCTTGATTGTTAATTGGTCCATTTACAACACACACTGATATTTTCGTTCGAAATATAAAATATAAAAACTATACACCCCGATAAATTAGCAAAAAGTCAACTGAACATCGACCTGAATAAGTTATCTTTATTCGGTTAGCTGAACCGTTTAAGCCGAAAAGGAAAACCCAAAACTGTTTTCATCCGGATGAATTATTTGGTTTTGATTTTTTTTTTTCTACACCCCTAAGTGTGCCCCCAACTATAAAAGTTTCTGGATCCGCTACTAGGTATGAGTGTTTTTCTAATTGGGAGGGGCATGTTTCGAAAAAAAACTTGGCTTTCTGCATAAAGCTCCCTCCTAGAGACCTACTCAATAATTCGCTTTCTATATCATTAAGCCATTTCCAAACTGTCATGTATTGTTGAGTGAATTAGTTGTGAGTCTCATTAAGTTCATTAAGCTGCTAATAAACAGGCCCTAAAAGTGTTCTGCTTCTGCAGGACCATGGTCTCGCAGCTGGTGAAACACGAACGCATAGAAACTACTGTTGCCAAGGTGAACTCTCTTAGCAATTTACATTTTCTTGTTTTTTGGTAAATTTGCACCGATTGAATCGATACTCATGCATTATAGTGTACTTGTATGACAAGGACCCAATCCAATATTTCTTACAAAGTCGTGCAATGCAGCACGATATATCTCAATTTTATTCTTTGTCCTTGTCGGTTTATAATACGCATTTTTTGTGGTTTAGAGAAAACGAGAAGGTTTTAGGCTGTTTGAAACCAGATTGAAATTTATTTAGATTTAAAATAAAGATGTAATTTCTTTCAGTTTTAGTAATGTAATTTGTTTTATAAAGATAATTATTAAACATTCTGTTAAGCTTAATAATTATCCTAATTATATTTTAGATCTTTTATATTTAAAGTGAAGTGTTTATCCTGACATTGATTATGTATAACAGTTAATTAGTTATATCAATTCAAACATGCAACTTCAAAAAGTTGTATTCATGCATCGTTTGTAATCTTGAATTTTAAGTAATATGCATCAATAAACAATATTTGATGCATAAAAAATGATTTTTAAGACTTCATATCAAATGCTTTATAATATAGTATAGACATTTTATTACTTATTCTATCTCCTTGTAATTGTTATAGGCAAAAGAAGTTCGTCGTCTTGCTGATAACATGGTGCAGCTTGGGAAAGAGGTGTGTGCAGCTTCGTCGTCTTGCTGATACATGACTGTTTGGTAGTGGCTTAATGGTATAGAAAGTGGCTTATTTAGTAAGCTTCTAGGGGAGAACGTTATGTAGAAAGCCAAGTTTTTTTCCAAACCCGCCCCTCCTAATTAAAAAACACACTCCTTCCATCTATGAAAAAACCTTTTCAGTCTATACAAACAGATTAATCCATACAAACAGCTTTATCCATAGAAAACTTAAATGAAAAAGAAAAACCAACCAAACAACCCCTTACTTGGTTTCATATTACGAACACTTGTTTTTAAAAAGCGGATTTTGTTTTCATTTAGATGTAAATCTGTTTATGGTTGTGCGAGTTATGCAATTGTACCGCTATGTGATCAGATCTCTGCAACCTTTTGGAGCTTCTGTTCATCAGTTATTTATCAAAGCAATGTGAAAATGCAATAATTTATTCTTATGTTTTAACTGTCTTGTAACTTGTTCAGGGAACCCTTTTTGCTGCTAGGCGGGCTGCTGCCTTTGTGCGAGGAGATGATGTTATTCACAAACTATTTACAGAGCTGGCTTACAGATACAAGTAAACATCAAACCTGCCATTTGGTCAAGTTCTTTTTACTCGATATCAACTATTGGTTAAACGATATATTGGTGGTGCAGAGATAGGGCAGGAGGATATACGAGAGTGCTTCGAACTCGGATTCGAGTTGGTGATGCCGCACCAATGGCGTATATAGAGTAAGATTTGTTCCCCTTATTTTGCCTTGAAATCCTTAGAATAAAACAGGGTTCCACGTTTGGCAAGACTTTTGTGTGGAACAGATGGGAACAAAGTGGAACAAGTGTGTTCCACCCCACAATGGAACAAGGCGAAACAAGATGGAACAAACCTATTATTTACCAATTTAACCTCAAAATAAAACGTAATACTCTTATAAAACAATAAATACATCTCCCTCTTTATATTTTATTCATTCTTTAAATTTTATTTATTTTTTTATGCTCTTCAAAAACTTTCATTTTACTCTTCTCAAAATCTTATTTTAATATGGTTTCTATATTTTGATTAATTTATGTAAATTATTAAATATTAATAATAAAAAATAATATAAAAAAGGTATAAAATAAAAATATGAAACTACATAAACCTTTTATTTTGTTGTCATTTTAGTCATCTTGACAAAAACTTTCAAATGATAACCACAAAGGTGGTACCTGATTGGTTTGAGCTTGGCTCCAAAAGTCAAAAGTACCAGGAGGTCACAGGTTCAAATTTAAGAAGGAATAAAAATCCCCTTGTGGCCACGGAGGTTCAAATGTGGTGACTCCGGGCTATCTGCAAAGTAGGTGGTCGCCCTGGGATTAGTCTGCTTGCATAGCGGGTTGGATATCCAGGTTCATAAAAAAAAACTTTAAAATGATATATTTTGTTATAAAAGATATTTATTTTATTAATATTTAATAAATTAATCAAAATATATAAACAATTCATTAGGGGTAAATTGGTCATTTTATCTGTTATGTTCCTTCCAGTTTTGTCTTACCAAATGTTGAACAACTGTTTTGTCCTATCATGTGTGCTCTTTGTCTCATCCAAAGTGCTCTTTTGATCTAGAATGGTGAAACATGAATATATTGCTTCCTTCTTTAGTTTGAGTGATCTCTAGGAGCATAATCTCCAGTAGAATTTCTGAGGTTTTTTTTATCAGATAGTAACATTTTAAGGATTAATTTCTCAAACGAAGACGTACTTAAGGTCATTGGAGATTAATACTCCCAACGTCTCAAATTAAGTGCCAAAATAAATGTCGAATTTCTATTTTAGATTGTCTCAAAATAAATGTCGAATTTCAAAAGTGCATACTTTCCAATTCTACCCTTGATTATGAGGTGGAGAAATTCATTATTCTCTCTATTATTAAGGGTAAAACGTCATTTAGTTGATTAAAAAGTGTAATAATTTACAAATTTCTGACACTGTCCATTTTTCATCGTATACATTTATTTTGGGACGAGTAATATTCTTGATGTCATTTGAGTGTAATGATTAATTTTAAGCTTTTATATTTTCTCTTAAAAAGCCGGTTTATCTCTTGAGGTAGAGGAAAAGTCTGCATACATCTTACCTTCCCCTGATACTACTACCAACTTCCAAGTGGGATATACTGGGCTTGTCTATTTGAATTGGTTCGGTTTTAGGTTTCTATTCACACACACAGCAAATGCATCCTCATACCCTCTTATTCTTTTTCATAATTTTCTGGATTTTATAAATATTCGTAATTTTAATTCTTTTCAACATTTCTTATCGTGAAACGTCTTTATTCACCAACAGGTTCATAGACAGGGAGAACGAGCTTAGGCAGTCGAAACCCCCGGCCCCACAACCAGCTCAAAGGCCACCGTTGGATCCTTGGACAAGATCTCAGCTTAGCCGGAGTTTTGCACCTCCTAAAGAAGTCAAAAGCTCCGAAGCCGAGGATTGAAACTTCTTTTCATTGGAACCATCCATTCCGGAAGGAATAAAAGGTATTCAAAACAATAGCGATTAAACTTCTAGAACAATACGCAGAGTTTGTAGCGACATTTTTGGCATTCAGATGTTTCATTTTGTATGGCATAAACTTCTGCATAGAAGTTTATTGAGTCCTGTTCTGCTCGTTGAGGGCGGAATTGGACTCTACAGTATGATCATAAAATCGAATCATCCGTTCCGAAAGGAATAGAAGGTGTTCAAAACACTAGCATTTAAACTTCTAGAACAATACACGGAGTTCGTAGCGACATTTTTGGTATTCGGATGTTTCATTTTGTATGGCATAAACTTCTGCACAGAAGTATCGCGAGTCCAGGTCTGCTCGTTGAGGGCGGAAGTCGACTCTACAGAATGATCATAAAATGGAATTTGAAAATATGAATCTCATATGAATACTTTTCATGGTTTGACAAGATTTTATGAAGGCACCGTAAACCAAACCAAATGATTCACAGACCCCTAAGGTCCGGGGTTTTTTGATTTCACTGATACGAAAAAATCTAGCCTGAAACTGCCCGACCATGGGACGGGCTTTTCGGGCCTGGTGGGACGGGATGGGCTTTTTGGGCCTGGTGGGCTTAGCCCAGGCATGGGACACAAAATCGGCCTAATTGAGCTTTAAGGCTCGGTCTAGGCCAGGTTTTCAGGTGGGCCTATCCCGGGCATACGAGCTCAAGTTTATAGTAATTGAACTCAATTTTTTTTTGATCCATATGTATATGTTCATATGCATGTATTTATGATCGAGCTTTTTTTGGTGGAACTTGAATCGAACATATTTTGTGATCGATATCTTTTGCCGTTTCAAATAATTTTTTTTGTGGAACGCAGTTTTGATCGATATTTTCAAGCTTTCAGATCGAGCTAGGATCTTCCTTGGGTTGAGTTCGAATCTGCATCAAGAAGACTCGTCAACCCACCGAACCGTTTTTGACCATTAACTCGAGTTCAAGTCGGGTTGAACTCGACTTGGCTCCTTTGCATCACTAATTGTAATCGAACTCGATTGATTTTGAGAAGGGATAACCCGAACAAAATAAACTCCAGATATTTAATTCGAGTGAGGTGGGATGTACGTAGATATGTCATCTACTTTAAAAAAATAGAACGATTGACAGGCATTTGTTTTTGTAAAAACAAAAAAAAATGAACCCATAAAGGGTCTGTTTACCAAACGCTTACCCGGGTAAGCGGTTACCAAGTAACATTACCTCACCGTATGAATATGGTAAAGACCAAGAATCTTACCCAGTAAGAGCGAGACAAGGACCAAGAGTCTTACCTGGTAAGTTAGGGTGACGACTCTTATCACGGTGAGCACTTACTGGGTAAATTGTTGCATACGATGTCGTTTTAGTGAACTAAAATCTTACCCGGTAAGTAAATAATAATGTTAAATTTTACTGGTAAACACTTACCCTTCAGGTAATTGGTTTAAACAACATTTCAATCTATGTGGTTTAGAAATTGCCATTTCCGTTCTTATTGTTTTGTTTGCAATTTATTGCTATTTTCATCCCTTCATATTATTCTACTTTTAAGTACAAGGGATCAAAACAGTAAAAAGTTATAAACCATAAGGACCGAAACAACAATAAATTATAAATCATAAAAACAAAAGTAACATGACTTATAAATCATAAGAATAACAACCGAAAATTTTAAACTATAGACATGAAAGTTGCAATTTTTTAACAAACCATAGATACAAAAATCGTTATTTAGGGGCCGTTTACCAAATGCTTACTCAGGTAAACGTTTGTCAAGTCATATTACCTTACCAGATTAATATAATAAGAACCAAAAATATTACCCGGTAAAAGCGAGACAAAGACCAAGAGTTTTATCCGGTAAGTGAATACGACGACTCTTTATGGTAAGTGCTTACCGGGTGAATTGTTGCATACGATGTCGTTTTGATGGACTAAATTCGTATCCAATAAGTAAATGATAGTATTAAATTTTATCTATAAACACTTATCTGGTCAATGTTTGATAAATAAACGACCTCTTAATTTTTTTTTTTTAAATGGCTTTTGTTGTTACCACCCAAATGAAAAAGGTGGGACCGGGTTGTCTCTACCCGAATCAGGATCCAACAGACAACTGCCAGCGGGAGGAGAGACGAGAGATCTCGTTAATTTCCCCCCTTTTGATTCTCTGTCGCAAATCATAAATTCAATTCAACAATTCGAAACCTCCGTTACTGATTTCAAGCTTCAGTAACAATGGCGACCAGATACTGGATAGCTTCTCTTCCTGTTCAGAGCTCTGCTACTTCTCTATGGAGTCGTTTACAAGAATCCATCTCCAAAAACTCATTCGACACTCCTCTCTACAGGGTATATATGTATATATATATATATATATATATCAATCACCACAATCTCTCTTCACTCTATTTCATTAGCTATCTGATTCAATTTGAGTGGTTTTTGCAGTTTAATATCCCAAATCTTCGTGTTGGAACCCTTGATTCGCTTTTAGCCCTCAGCGATGACTTGATCAAGGTTAATATTCATGATTTCTAGAGTGTTCTATCCTAATTTTCATCTTTTGTTTAGAATTGATTGATAGATTGGTTGTTTGTGGAATTGTGTAGTCGAATACCTTCATTGAAACGGCTTCTCATAAGATACGACGTCAGATTGAAGATTTGGAGAAGGTATCGGGAATTCTTAGTAGTTCCTTGACCATTGATGGGGTTCCGGTGGATTCATATCTTACAAAGTAATGTTTTTTCATTTGCTTTAAAGTTTCTATCGACTTTGATGAAAGATTATGCATTTGATTTGGTGAATTTATGATTGTAGATTTGTGTGGGATGAGGCCAAGTATCCAACCATGGCTCCTCTTAAGGAGATTGTGGATGGTATTCATCTGCAGGTAGCTAAGATAGACGATGATCTTAAGGTATCCAGTTGTTCTATCTCTTGTTATTTGTGTCAGTATAGTAGTTTTTTAAGTTTTAACAAAATTAGTGTAATTGAAAGGTCTCAAAATACTGATATATGTAGTAGACCATGTTTAGCTTAAGGTCTGTTTGTAGCAGCTTAATGAGCTTAATGGGACTCACAGCTTATTCGGTCAACTATACATGATTGTTTGGTAGTAGCTTAATCATACATAAAGTGGCTTATTCAATAGCTTTCAGGGGGAGCTTTATGCAGAAAGCCAAGCTTTTTCTAAAGCTGCCCCTCCCAATTAGAAAACACACTCCTATCTATGAAAACTCTCCCAAACAAAAACCTTCACAATCTATGCAGACAAATTAATTCACACAAGAGAGCTTTATCCATACAGGACTTGATGAAAAACCGACCAAACAGCCCCTTAGTTATGATGAGCTGAGATTTGATCCTCGGGATAAAAATGTATGTGTGCTTAGTTACACTGGGAGGTGGAATATTCTGAACTACAATAGAAAGCCATAGACAGTCCTACATATATCAGTGGATTTAGCCTTAGCTGCATCTAATTGTTTCTGCTTTTGATGGGTTGACAGGTTCGTATTGCTGAGTATAACAATGTTCGCAGTCAACTGAATGCAATTAACAGAAAGCAGACTGGAAGGTAAAAATATATTAAACACCTATCTATAACTTGTAAGTAGCATGAGGACATATGATTCAAGAGATAGAAAAACATTACCAATCGTTGGAGTTGAGGTGATGCCTGCCACCATTATCTCATTTTGGTTGGTGCATCAGGTTTTAACATGATGATCTATTGTTATTCTTATAATGAATCTGACCTGACTCATTTACTTTTCTAGCTTAGCTGTTCGTGATCTGTCCGATTTAGTGACACCCGAGGATCTCGTCACTTCAGAGCATTTGATTACGCTCATTGCTGTTGTCCCCAAGTATTCACAGAAGGATTGGTTGTCATGTTATGAGACACTAACAACTTATGTGGTAAGACCTCTATTCTTGTTTAATTGTATCCTGCTGATTTCTGCTGTTGATATCCCTGATCCCTGATGTTCATAATGGAATATTCTTTCTAGCTTTTAGGGCTAATTCTCTCATTCTAATTTTCAGACTAAATCCAAAAATGAAATCTCCTGATACTCATAATTGGGATCCACTCTGCTTCATAATTGGAATGAGGGGTAAAATAGTCATTTCTGTCATTCAGACAGTTTATACAGCACAACAACTGAACAAGTTAGCCTAATACATACAGACAACTAAATCCCTACATGACTTAATGTAAAAACAACCAAACAACCCCTCGGTGTCATCCGATTCTGTTGGTTAAAGTCTGTGGCTGGAGTCCTGTCTTCCATTTTCATAAGCCTATAGTCACCTTCATCTTTGCATTTTAACGGTGGGATTGTAAAGCCATCAAAATTCAAAAGCTTTATGTCTAGGTCAGTTTTCAAAATTCTTACTTTATAAACTTGTTTTAGATCTGCATAATCTTAATCATATGTATCTAGTTTTTATCTTTTGGCATGAGATGCATTTCTTCCTTTCTATTTTATTTCTATTACTGTATATAAGGAGCTATTTACCAAACGCTTACCGACAAAAGTCACCACCCTCACGTATTTTATCAAGTGACATTCTTGGCCATCAAAATGGATTGCTGGTAAACTTCTTTTACCCTGTAAGCGCTTACTAGGTAAGAATCTTTTCCCTCACTTACCCGGTAAGAACCTCGGTTGCTGCCATGCCTCTTACTGGGTAAGATTCCTGGTCCTTGCATGTTCACTTGGTAAGGTAAGTGGCCCGGTAAGTTCTTACTCGATAAGCGTCTAGTGAATGGCTCCTAAATTTCATATTTCAGTAGGAACAAGTTAAACGAAATTGCTCCAGCAATTATACCTTTTGATTGAACTAATTGTATTAGGTCCCCAGATCCTCCAAGAACCTACATGAGGACAATGAGTATGCCATCTATACTGTGACATTATTCAACCGTGATGCTGATAATTTTCGAACCAAGGCACGTGAAAGAGGGTTTCAAGTGAGTTTTCATCATAAAACTTGTTTATCTGCAACCAAAGTTAGACTGTGGTTGAATAACCTAATATAATACGTAGAGTCGTTGAAGAGATGTTACTGAAAATCTCTTGTTTCATCTTTGTGGTAACATGACGATAAAAAATTGAACTTTGTAAAGGATTCCTATCGATTGTTAATTTTCTATTGTGGTTCAGATTCGGGATTTCGAATATAGTTCAGAGACTCAAGAGAACCGGAAACAGGAGCTTGAAAAACTTGTGCAAGACCAAGAATCCCTGAGAAGCTCTCTTTTGCAATGGTGTTATACCAGTTATGGAGAGGTACTTCCATCTCTGAGAATCTTCTTACAATTAATTGAACTTATTATGCGTAGTTCATGCCCCCAGCTGATGCTTGTTCGCAACTACTGGCTACCAAACCTTAATAAAAATTGCTTTCTATATGGCAGATTGGGCTATTTACTTTTTTCTCCATTAAGCCCTGTATGGGTTAAGATCTGTCTGTCTGGATAAATTTGTGTGTCTGAGGGACAGGAGAATGATGGGTTTGAGGGAGGCAAAGAGAGAATTTTGGATTATTTCTGTATTAATTTGTTTGAGGTGGCTTAATGGGGACGAGTGGTCATGGCTATTCCATATAGTCATTTTGGCTTAATGGCTTACAGATTAAGCCGTAAATAAACACTCCTATATGGCTGAGTGAATAAGCCGTTCAGACCATTAAGCTCTTTAAGCTGTAAGTAAATAGCCTTGACTCTTTATTTTCCATCATGTGCCGGTATGTGTCATATATGATATGATATGTGTGAGCTTTTCTGAATACAGACTCATTGATCTCTAAACTGGAAAATGAGTCCTTCATGTTGTCGTATTCAGGTCTGCTGCACAAGTTATTATTACATAATGCCATGGGACAATTCAGTTTGGATTGAACCATATAATCAACTAGACGTGGAACCGAGTAAGGGACTTGATATTAATATAGGGAGGCAATGAATGTCAGTATGGGCACTTTCAGTTGTCATGCAATAGAGGAAAGTTCGGTTGAGAACCTTGTTTTTCATTGAGAACCCGAGAACTGCCCATAGTGCGCCACATGTTCCTCTTCAGGATGAATATCATCATGAATAATACATTCATTATGAATATGGATGTGTTATTCAACATTCATGATGAATAGTCCATATTCCTGATGAATATTACCATGTGTCGCGCTGTTTATGGTCCCCCCATTCCTAATGAAAATTAGGTTCCTAACAGAACCTCCCCCTCGTGCAATAAATGACTAAATCTTGTTGTAAGTTAAGGTAATTTATTCTAGTAACTTATCAATGAACTGGGAGTTTATTGAATTGCTAGTTGTTCATCGGTTAACAAACCTGAATTTTTTTGAGATCACTTATAAGCTCTGTAGACGTGATTCTAGGAATTACTACTTTCGGCTGTAAAATGAGTCTTTTTATCATACAGTAACACAAGTCTTGCATTTGCCAACACTATTTTATAGGTTGCAATATAACATAGAGTAGGAAAGCAAGAACCTGAGGTTTAGACTTGACAGTTGAAATTATCATACTCCATATGCCACAAAATAAATGTCTACAATGAAACATTCACATAGTTCTAGAAATGTCTAATTATTACACTTTTTTAGTTAACTAAATTTACGATTTTACTCTTAATATTAGAAGGAGTAAGAATTTCTTCATCTCAAATTAAGAGTAGTAGAATTGGAAAGTAGGTACTACTTTTATAAGTGGACACTTCTTTCGGGACAAACTAAAATAGAATTGTGGACACTTATTTTGGAACGGAGGGAGTATTATATATGTGGTGAATTCTGGATGCCACTAATCAGCTATCATGAGTAATGCATCACCTCTTCAGCTATTTATTCGTAACAAATGAGTTTGGTTTTGTGTAACCAATAGGTGGTCTCTTGTACTGTGGTGGATGAATCTATCAAGTGTAATCCTGCATTGGAAATTTGACCAACTTTATATAGTCCATAAGTTGATAACAATGATCATTATCATGCTCTCCTTTCGGCTATCTGGTTTAAACTTGAATCCCTTCTTTGGTCATTAAGGAGCCGTTTGGTTTGACGAAATGTTTTTGAGGGATTTGGATTTCGTGGAAGGATTTGGAATCTTTGGTGTGTTCGGTTTGTAGAATTTGGAATGGAATTGCCATTCTTTATACATAATTTACAAAAGGATATTATAAAAACAATAGAGTTACCTTTTATTAATTGATTATTACAAAACAAATATTTTTAACATATTTTAAAACATTTGTACAAAATGATCTTATGAAATCCCATGAAATATTAACCACCCCCATGGGATTTCTAAATCCAATGTTTGTGTTGATTTCATTGAAATCCTGGGATTTGAATCCAAGATTTTGCTATAAACCAAACGTAGGATTGGAACGGAATCCAATTCCAAATCTCACCCAATGAGCCCTAAGGGTCTTCTTTTCTCCTGGACTATCTAAATAAATGCCACCATCTTTCCTGCAGGTTTTCACTTCGTGGATGCACTTTTGTGCTGTACGTTTATTTTCTGAGAGCATTTTGAGATACGGATTGCCACCTTCATTTCTGGTAATTGAATTAAACATGTCTATTGTTGTATCTACTTGTGTGACATGTCTACTTTACACTAGTTTTAGGGGCTATTTGGTAGATGCTGAATGATTTACTGCAAAATGATTTAGTTCATAATGATTAAGAGGTTCTTATGATTTAGTGTAGAATGAAAAACGGTTGTGTAGTAAGTGTTTTGAAATGACAGTCTAAATGACATAAAATTACCATTTTAACCTTTGTATGATTTAGTGTTGGGTGAATATGAGTTACTGATAAGTGTTCTCAATTACAAAAAATTATAAATTACTTTCTATCGCATTCCAAATATACATTACAAACACAACATTCTTGTTCAAAACAACATATGATTTAATCAAAAACATAATATGTTCCAACAACTACAATTACGTGCAAGCTACAATGATGAAAGTGGCATATGGTAAACCTGAAACCAAGCTCAAACCCTATTAGTGATTGATTAAAAAACTTGAACAAGAAGAGAGCCACCAAGAAGTTGTAAGGTTAAGCAAAAAGTTAACGACATGACAATTAATCACACATGCTTTGAGGGTCATATTTAGGGGGAACCACAAAAAAATGAAAAAACTGAGGAACACCGTGGTAACTATTAATCTTGCGCTTTGTGTTTCCTTGTTTGTTTCAACCTATTTTACTCACTTTTATCTTCATTAGCAACAAAATATTTTCTGTGGAACTAGTAGATTTAAATATGAAGCACCATAAAATAAACCAAATTCTATGAAGAGCTGATCTAATTGTAATCTTGGGGTAAACTAAAAAATTTGTATCTGTTTTTCATGATATTATGCATTGATCAGATATATCATGGCAAATTTTTCCTGCTTTGTTTTTGTATAAGTATTCCAGACCCCATTGCCTTGTTTGCTTAGGGCCTGTTTGTTGGCAGCTTAATGAGCTTAATGGGACTCACAAACTTATTCGGTCAGCTATACATGACTATTTGATAGTGGCTTAATGATATAGAAAGTGACTTATTTAATAAGCTTCTAGTGGGGAGCTTTATGCAGAAAGCCAAGTATTTTCCAAACCTGCCCCTCCCAAACAAAAACCTTCTCGATCTATCACACGGATTAATCTACATAGGAATTGATGGAAAACCAACCAAACAAATTAAGCCGCACAGACAACTTTATCCATATAGGACCATGGAAAACCAACCAAACAACCCCTTAATGTATCCGTTGCTTGATTGCACACATTCTCACCTGTAGCTTGTTCTCTTGTTTCTTTTAATTTTTTTTTTATTTACAAGCCAGGGGTGTTCATGGAAACAACCTCTCACCCCTTTGGGGTTGAGAAGAGGTCTGCGTACATCTTACTCTCAGACTGTACCTCCGTGCGGGATTTACTTGGTTTATTTGGTTTGATTTATATCCTACAATCCCTCCACCCGGCATAAGAGTTTAAACACTTCCATATTACCATTTGCTGGTTTCCTTTATATATTCTTATATAATTACCCTTTATTTGATTTCAGTCTGTTGTGCTATCGCCGTCTGTGAAGAGCGAGAAGAAAGTGCGTTCAATCCTAGAAAGTCTTTGCGACAGTTCTAACAGGTAAGTTCTGATACTATCTATATTCTATTTCCATTATCTCACTGACCGTAATTAAGAAACAGATCTAACCTCGATCACATAAGAGAAGTCCAAACCTTTGACTTCCAACTGTCGAATTAGTTAGTTTTTGACGTCAAACTTAAGCTTCATTTCCTTGCGTAAAGAAACTGATAATTATACCTAAACTTTGGAGAGACTACAAAAAACGAGCATATGATCGTGTAGTTTGGCTGTGGATTTAATCAAAACCATGCCATTTTGATTAAAAACAATACTCATATAGCGTGTAACAATAAGAAATGTTGGTTTTGGATGTGACTAAGGGCGTGTTTGTTAACAGCTTAATGAGCTTAATAAGACTCACAGCTTATTCAGTAGTTATCCATGACTATTTAATGGTGGCTTAAGCTTCTAGGGGGAGCTTTATGCAGAAAGCCAAGTTTTTCCAGACCTGCCCCTCCATACAGATAGATTAATTCACACAATCCATACAGACAGATTAAAGAAAAACCACATTGGAAAAAGCCACACGTTCTTTTCATCCATGGAAAAAGCCTTCGAAACAAAAACCCTCCCAATCCATACAAACAGATTAATTCACACAATCAACTTTATCCACACATGACTTAAAAGAAAAACCAACTAAACAGCCCCTAAGTTTGAATCTTCCTAAATCCACATTGGCCTCCTTACCAAACGTGTCCAATAAATCCCACCTGGAGGCGGGGTTTTTGGGGGGGGGGGGGATATACGTAGGCATGTCGTCTAGCCCACAGTGTGAGAAAAAGAAGCACTTGAGACAAGAAAGGAAGATACGCCAAATTTTAAAAAAAGAAACTACGCTTAGTTAGAAGTTCGCAACATCGTAGAAATAGTAGGTACAAGGAAACAAAACCAAGATAAGAAAACTACACAATCCTTTGCCTATCCTAGGACTCTGATAACCTATTTATCTACTCGCTAACCTTACCCCCACGGCCTCACCCACTACCTCTCCAACTTCCTTCCTCTCGTCTATCCTAGTACCGCGTCTCCAAAAACACCTACCAAAAACAATATCAAGAAACCCAAATCTATTTCTTTTGGGAAGGCACTAATTGGTTTTTCACCACATTTATCCCTATATCAAAATTGTCTATTAGATTATCAAACTACCCTCGGGTAGAGGAATGGTTTTCCACATCTTACCCTCTCCAGACCCCACTTTAGGATTCACGGGGCTCTTTTGGTTTATTCACTAATTTCCCCGAGGGTAGAGGAAAGGGTGTGTACATCTTACCCTCCCTAGACTCCACTTCGTGTGGGATTCACGGGATTTGTTTGGTTTATTTACAAATTACCCGGAGGTCAGAAGAAAGGCTGTGTACGTCTTAGGGACTGTTTAATTGGTTTTTCATTAAGTCCTGTATGGATAAAGTTGTATGTGTGGATTAATCTGTTTGTATGGATTGGAAAGGTTTTTGTTTGGGAGGGTTTTTTCATAGATGGAAGGAGCGTATTTTTTAATTAGGAGTGTCAAGTTTGGAAAAAACTTGGCTTTCTACATAAAGCTTGCCCCTAGAAGCTTACTGAATAGTCACTTTCTATATAATTAAGCCACTACCAAACAGTCATGTATAGCTGACCGAATAAGCTGGGAGGCCCATTAAGCTGCTAACAAACAGGCCCTTAACCCTCCCTAGACCCCACTTCGTGTGGGATTCGCTGGGTTCATTTGATTTGGTCTATTCATAAACTACTCATTTCAACTCAAGAAACCATATAAACGGAAACCAGATTCGTCCATAGTTTACAAGAAAACGACTAGAAAAGGACAAACACTGAATTCTGCATGTGGGTACCCTATCCATTGAAGATAATCAAGTGGACCATTTGTAAAATTGTCTTGTTTTGGGCTAGAATTTGAATCCAGGATATGGGTGTTGGTGTTGGAACATTAAAAACCTCTGAATGTTGTAGATTATATAACAGTCAACATTACCACTCTGAATAAGACAGAAGAGAAGGGAATGGAGCTTTTTAAAACCTCTCAATGTTGTAGATTACTTCCTTCTTCCTAAAATAAATGTCCACAAGAAAAGGGCACACAGTTTTAGAAATACGTAATTATTACCTCTTTCAATCAACTGCAATGACAATTTTACCCTTTAGTAACTAAGGATAGAATTGGGAAGTAGACACTTATTTTTGGAGAAACTAAAATAGAAATATAGACACTTATTTTGGGACGAGGGGAGTATTTAACATTCTAACATTAAATAAGACAGAAGAAAAGGGAATGGAGCTTCTTCAATACTCCCTCCCCCCTTCTCCCCCACCTCACATTTGTTTGTTTGATCTATATATATATATATATATATATATATATATATATATATATATTTGTTTGTTTTGAACTCACTGCTGCTGAGAATAACAGTTTGCCATAATTGCGGTGTATCGTTATATGCAGCACGTTCTGGAAAACTGAAGACGATGGAAACATGGGCAGCTTGGGTGGTGATGCCGACACTCATCCATACGTCTCCTTCACCATTAATCTTATATGATCCTAGTGTTGTGCTGCTTCGATTCATCTCAATAATTTTCCGAGCTTATAACCTCTGTATTTTATGCTGTATTTACCCGATTTTTAGTTCGCTTATTTATTCAGTCATGTAATTTGCTTGATGCCGAACCTTTTTGGTTCTTTGTTTTGCTTTCAATTATTGTGTTGCGGCATTATTTGTCTTCTGGGTCGGAAGCTGCGTTTGCCCGTTTGTTTTGCTATTTCGAGCAGGACTCGAAACGGGCACTCGGTTGTTGGTTAGATTTGGAAAGTTTATGTAATAATCCTTGATTTGGTTATGTTTGAAAACCATGTAAAATTTGAACTGGGAATAAGGTTTTTGGTTATATTTGGAAAGTTGTGTTATGATATACTGATATTACCAAAAATAGATCCAAAGTTGTACCATATATAGTTTCAAATGCAATTCATCATATTTGTATAACCAATATAATCCAATTAATTGAGATATTTATAGAAATGATGAGAATTCATTTATTATGATTTAAATATTTATGAAAGATGGCTAGGGTTCATTAATTATGATCAATACTTTATATTAGAAAACAATTAGAACTTTTATGAAATCACATATTCATCAAATTAAATGTACGGTTGGGAATGAGTTGTATTGGTTGTACAAATGTAAAAGGTTGCATGATAACTCACCTCTATGGTATATAATAATATCTTCAACAAATGCTTTAAAACAGTTAAAATGTATTCAACAGATTTTCTAAAGAAAACAAGAGAAAATTTCAAGCTTATAGAATTTTCTAAAACTTGACGTGAAGAGAGAGAAATAATACACACACACACATATGTTTTTTACTATTATTCAGTAAGTTAATGATATTAAACAATTTAAATTATATTATATACTAAAAACTATCTGGTAAGAAAATTCAAATTCACGTTACAAATACCGCACTTTGAACCATGGTGTGCCACGGGCTTTGTCGTGGCTAGCCTTTTAGGACACTGATGATTTGGAATGTTTGCTCAAATTATTTTTTACTAGTTGTGTACCCGCGCAATGCGGCGGGATGCGTGAATTTTAACGATTTTGAAGTTTCACTGGTTTTATTAGAGAAGATTTAACGATGATATAAGTTACAATTGTTCTTTACATATTAATACAATTTGAATAAATAAGAGTTATGGTTCCAATTACATTATATCGATGAAAAAAATTGATGACAGTTTAAAATCCAATATATTTAAAATCCAACATATTTAAACGACTCCACAAATGTGTTCGATTTACACCAAGATCAAAGAATCAAGAGATCGAGAGCGAGAACGAGAGTTCTAGAGCAATTGAATGGGAGATGAATGAGAGAACTTTTAATAACTCATGGTGAATATCGGTTTGAATCTCACCTTAAGGGATGAGGAGAAGACATGGTGAAGACATAAGTGAAATATGTGAAAAGTATCTATGGAACATGAAAAGAAAAGGTAATAATGTGCATTGG